TGGATCTAGCCATTGGTGGGTTCTAAAAGGAAGAAATGTATAAAAAATGAAGAAAGAAAAAGCTCAATAGGAGGTACTTACAGGAAGGTGGTCTTTGAAGAGAGAGCTCGGAGGACGAAGGAAACTCGAAGGAGAACACAGAAGTGCTCGGAGGCTGATTGCTGAAAGAAGGCTGAGGATGCAAAAGTTTTGAGAAGACACGAGCACCTCCTATTTATATTGATTTACAAGGGGCGGGAATCGAAAAGTTGGGTCATTATTAGGGGATTTGAAAAAGACAGCGCCAGACGTGCAAGTAACCGTCGCTATTAATGAGACGTGTTTGTTGAGCCTCCAATCCTTTTACGCCACTTGTCCCACACCGCAAATAGAATGGAGGCTGGGGGCAGTTGGCGGGACTCTAGGTGGCTCTACGGCCCCCGAACTGACACATGGAATGATGAAGCTGTTGTGATGTTCAAGGGACGCCGAGGTATGGTGTCCTAGAGAAGCCGAGCACGACAGCTGACGCCACATTTAATATGATGTGACCTCTCATTTATAGTGGAATAAGTGATGGTGACAAGGCTATTAAATGTCCGCCTGCAGGTGTCTGCACTCTGAGTCTAGGCCTACTATTATGATGACTAGACATTGATGATTACTATGCCGAGTGTATATGATCGGATCTCCCCGAGGAACTGTTCCCGCGAGTATTCAATGCTCACCTATGGGTGTCAGACGCCGATCAGAGGGATGTGGATACTCGGGGAAAGGCATAAATGTTCGGCATGGAGCCGAACACTCGTCCCATCACCCTACCATTGAGTAGGAGAAGACTTGAATGGAGAACACTCATTGTGCGAGAAGTGGCATGTCAGACATTAAATGTTTAGATGGGACTAGATGTCTTTGACAATTATTGGTAATTCAGGTATAAATACTCCTCAGAAAAAATGGACAAAGGTACGCAAGACTAAACGAGAAAAAGATTGTTCATTGAGCTTGAACCTCGAGCCTTGTGATTGACTTAAGCTTCAGAGGGGACAAGCCGGGTGTTCACCCGACCCCCTTTTCTGATCCTATGATTGTTTCAGGTTCATCTGGTTGGAGGTCGCTATCTCAAACGATTGTAGAAATTATCCCGTGCAGTTGTGTATTTCCTAATTGCTTACCGTCAAGCTTAAGTATGGGTAGGACGTGATTTAGGGCATGAAAATGGAATTGTGTCTTTGAATTCAAGTTTTATTTTCAGCCAGAATACCAAAGGCTGGAAACAGGAAGTTGAATATTTGATTAAATAAAAAATATATTGGCCTCTTCTTCGAGTTCCATGGGGTTGACTGTGTTTACTGAGTACCTGTTTACTGACTTGTTCAAATTGACCACATGATGTAATAGTGGTCCAAATTCTTTTCCGTATCTGCTGGACGTGTTGTAGTTGGTATAGATGGATATTGGGTGGAGATTAGTTTGTAAATTTGGCCTTCAGTTCCTATTAGATCTAGGAGTATTACAAGTCTACAAAAATAGCCATGCAATCTATGTCCATTGAATGGAGAACAAGTTATGGGATTTTTGTTCCCAAAAATTATGCTCTTTGGGTTTATGCGGTGTAATTTTTACTTAATTGTGATGCATTTGGAATTAGTGGTAATGCTTACCTTCTGCTTCTTTTCTTTGATTTTCACTTCTATCCTGCACACAAATCTGAACAAATGCTTGTTTTTCAGTTTTGGAACAAGCCTAGATCTTTCCGCCTGCAAAGGTTGTACTATAGTGAAACTCAAAGTCAGCTAATTTTATGTTCATGGTACTGTTCAAAGCAACTAGAACAGTCCTGAAATGTTGTCCATCATTGCCCTGTTATAGTATCACCTTCTTATGCCTATTGCGAACCTTAATACTCAATATTCCCAGCCCCATTTAGCCGGAAGCTAACCATAAACATCCCCCAAAAATCCTTTTTGTGCTTCTCCACATTTCCTAGAGTAGTTTCTAGAAGAGTTATACTTTGCCTCTGCCATGCATGAAGCATTGTCTTTGATATCTTTCAATTCCTTTTTGAAGTTTATTGAGTTCAATTGATGCATCATCTCCATGTTGTCTGGCCATAGTTTTTTTTTTTCCTGATACGTATTTGCACACACATTTGTTCGGGCATGTGCATGCACTCAGTACCCTGCTTGGCATGCACTCATTAAAATATGTGCTTGTGTTTACATTGTTTTGCAGTTGGTGTACATATGCCTGTCAAATATTTGTAACATATGAAGGTTTTAAAATTCATTTACCTGGGATTCTCTTTCTGCTTTATCTAAGGGGGAATTTTGTTGAGGGGATCCCATAGTTTGTTGGCCAATAGTTGCTGCTTGTAAGATGGAATTTAACCATTTTCTTGCAAGGCTTTCTCTCGGCTCTCCTTTCCTGGTTTTCATTTGTTGTTGACATCCTTTTCAGTCAAAAGGAGATCATGGTTGCTTCGCTACCTGATAAAGGTTTCCTACGACTAACCTTGTAAACCTGCTGGTCTAACATACACAATAATATGACCCATGAAAAGCTTAAGCTTACTCTGCTAACCAACCCAAGAATGGAAAAGAAGTAGATTTCAGAAAGAGAGGAGCTGTGTGTATGGGTCCTGCTTTTGACCTGTATGGTCACATTCCTAGAATTTGTTAGGCCTATGGCCTATCATGTAATTTTCAGCCTGTTTTCCAACAACATTCTCTACCTGCTTTCATTTTTTTCTTACATATTGCCTTTCATGAAGGCCCTATTTCAATTGTTTTCTCTTGATGTGGCCAGGTCAGAGTTCGTATTTATCAATCCTAATTCTAAAGGACAATGCGGTTGTGGTGAATCTTTCATGACGACAAGTAGTGCAGCTGCAAAGCAAGGTGGTGGTTAGTGCCATGTCAAACTTGTATTTAGTCATGATAAGGTTTTCTCTCCGTCTCCTTTGAAGCCAGCAGGCCTAGTAATTGTTTTCTGCCACGACTTTGCATGCAAGACAACGAAGAATGAAAACTTAGGCCTGCCTAATTAGCTCTCATGGCTATCAGTGCTAAGGTCGGTTTGTTTGATCTTTACTAATTTTTCAAATCCATTGTACAGGAGATTTTCCGCTGTAATTGTTATCTTATTGTCAAATTCTCCCTAATCTTTAAGTTCAGTATTTGCCATTGTAATTAATATCTATGATCAAGTTTCTTGTGTTCTGTAACTTCTTGCAACTCCAGGCTGCTGATTGCCAATGAATTTGCACTGTTTTATGGATTTGAATAGGGCATTGTAAAATTAAAAAGAAAAAAAAAGGATGTGCAGTGACATTCCAGAATATTGTTCTAATGCACTAACAAGGGAAATGTGACCCAGAATGCCAATAATTTCTGTATCTGTATTCTTTAGTGTCCATATTTCATGGACACATACAAATGTGTCTTTTTCGAAGTTGGAGTGCAAGGTTCCTGTCACTGCGGGATTTGGAAGTCGTGTAATTCGAACACACGACGCCCATATTGCAATGAACTATTCTTACCTTTGTGTTAAAATCCGTCCTCAAAATGGTTGAACCTGTACTCCTGCTTCATGGTGGCTCATCAAAATTCATGATCTTTTAAACATTGTGATGGAATTCACTTAGACTAGCATATTGATCATCAAAGTCCATGGTTCTATTATTTGAGGGATTGGCCATCAAACACCATGATTTTATTCACTTTGGCTAGTAGTTGATAATAATGAATGTAATCGGTTATATGATTTGATCCAAACCGAAAAGCATGAATCAACCATGTTTAACGTTATTCAAAAGAAACTCCAAGGAATAGTATAAGTGATAATATGGACGCATTGTAAATTCGGACATATTGAGTTCGAATTTTAGTAATTTTTTGGGATTAAGTCATAAGGAATTTATTTCTCATGAATACCTTAGTCTTGACGTGGATGACTTGTCTTTAATTGGACCGAAAAAGAAATTGATCAGATGCATATCTTACCGTTGAAAAAAAAAATCAAAAGGAAAAAGAAAAGAAATGGTCCAAGAATAGAGCTTAGGGGAAGCTTGCTTTCATAGCTAAAATGATTACTTACACAACTTTTTAAGAATAAGATCTAAATAAACGAAAAGTTAAAAAAAGATGGTGTTCGCTTCATTTTTCAATCAAAAAGATAGTTTGTATTCGTAATTAGAACCCACCTCAGTGCTAATGATACGATTTGGATACTAGATCTTCGTCAATCTAGTCATTCCTCCTTAATTAAATAATGTAATCATTAATTAAAAAAATAAGAGGCGACAAATTTTTATTGGTCGAAAGATAGAAGTAGCGTGCCAAAAAGGTACTTTTCAAGATTTTAGTGGGACTCTCACTTCATACAATTAGAAAATGTTCAATGAAATTTAGTGTATGATTTTTTTTTTGGGTCCAGACTTACATTGATTATTTCATTGAGTTCAATAATTGTCACCGTAATTTGAACTGAATTAGAATACGTTCTTAAAGAATAAGTGTGGTTAATCTCAAGGAGTGTAGAAAAAAGATTAAACTTGAAATTTTTGAATAGACATTGCTACATAATTTAAATAAAATTTAAAAGTTAAATTTAAATATATATTATTCCTTGAATGAGTGTGAGATGAGTGAATCTCATTGAAAAATTTGATGAGACTTACTCGTATAAGAAATAATATGTATTTAGATTATAATTTTTTGGGTTTCATTTGATTTTTGTAACATTGCTCTTTTTGAATTATTAAAGATCAGACTCAGTCATTGATTTTGTTTTTTGGTTCAATGGTCAAAGGTGTTCGGAACAATTTATACACATTTGATTAATCACCTTTCAATCCGATTAAAGATAGACAATTAATACCGAAACTAGAAAATTTAGTGTAGGATTCAAATAATTGGAAATGTCTCAATATTCCCTCGCAGTGACCCGACCCGATGTATTTTGATGGGTTAACGCCCAACGGTTCGTCTCAAGAATCAGATTCAATCCCTTTCTCTCACTCCTCTCATCAAATACTCCATAGTTTCATCGTGTCTTCATCTTGACCCACCATCATCATCGTCTTAATTCAACTTCTCTCCAATGTTTAGATGCCGATGACGGTGTGTTAAGGCATTAGTTTGTTCGTCTTTTGACTTTTGGGTTTGACTGTAGTTGTATGACTCTTCTGGTAAGACACCCAGATTTTAGAATTCTCTTCATTCTTTGAATTTTTCGTCGGATATTTTGCGATGGAGAAACTATTTGTATCTATATTTGATTTGTGTTGAGCATAAATAGAGTTCTATGGTTGAATTTAATGGAATTTTTGGTTACAGGAACTACGTTTTGACCCTAGTGATGCGGTCAATTGATGCATATTTCTTGAATTCTGATGTGATTGTTGCCTTTCAAGTGGTACCCATTATATTGAACCTCGATACTCTTAAGAGATGATGGGTTTAATTTTTTTGTTGATGGGGTTCTTGGAATCTTGTTATAAAGTTGAAATCACAGGCATCTGAATTATGTTGATTGAACTTCAATGATTTCACAATGAAAATAATGAAAAATATTGATCTTGATGTTATCTTCAATGCTTGATTGGAGTTAGTATGCTGGAACTGTAGGGAGATTTGGCTGTTTAGTTTATGGGTTTTATGTATCTGTGAGTTTCCCTTGGTTTTCTGTCTGGATAGGGGTTTTTCCATTTTGGGTTTTGAAAGTTTCAGTACTTTGATTGAATTTTGGGAGCCAATAGCATTTTTTGAGCTTTTATTTGTTGAGTTTTTGGTTGGCTATGGAGTATCTTCCTGTTGAAGTCATTGGAAACATACTATCTCGACTAGGGGCCGCTAGAGATGTTGTGATTGCATCTACAACTTGCCGGAAGTGGCGAGAAGCTTGGCGGGATCACCTCCACACACTTACATTCAATTCCAATGACTGGCCTGTATATCATGAGATGACGTCTAGCAGACTTGAGATTCTTATTACTCAAACAATATTCCAAACCACTGGACTGCAGTCCCTTTCAATTCTTATGGATGAAGTTGATGAATTTTCTGCTGCTCCCGTGATTGCTTGGCTCATGTATACCAGAGAAACTTTGCGGCAGTTGTATTATACTGTACGGACAACTCCAACCATCAATATCCTTGAAAAATGTGGTCGGCAGAAGTTGGAAGTGTTTGCGTTGTCTCATAACACTCTTACCGGTGTTGATCCCAGTTATCAGAAATTTCCCTGCTTGAGATCTCTTTATCTGAGTTATGTCAGTGTCTCAGCATTGGATTTGAGTCTTCTGCTCACTGCCTGCCCAAAAATTGAGGTCTTGAATCTTATGAGTCTAGATATTGCTATGTCAGATACGCAGACGACAATGTTATTAAGTAGTCTATCATTGAAGGATATCTATGTTGAGGCAATCAGTTTGGACAAGTTCATATTGGAGGCTGATAGCATTGAGAGGCTGCATTTAAAGGACTGTACTCTTGAGGTTTTTGAGCTGGTCGGCAAGGGGACATTGAGGCTCCTCAAGATCGACGATGTTAGTGTTATCCATCTGGATATAGGTGAGAGCACCGAAAATCTTGAGGTTGTGGATGTTAGCAATTTCACGATTATGTGGGCAAAGTTTCATCATATGATTTCAAGATCCTCAAAATTGAGAAGGCTCCGGCTTTGGGGTGTTGTGTTTGATGACGAGGATGAGATGGTGGATATGGAGACAATTTCTGCGTGCTTCCCTTTGTTACGCCGTCTGTCCTTAAGTTACGATCTAAGAGAAGGAACACTTCATTATGGCTTGCAAAGTTCATTTCAATTGGCGAATGTGGTTTTCTTGGAGCTTGGGTGGACAGTGATTAACGATCTGTTCACACATTGGGTTGCAGAACTCTTAGAAAGATGCCCCAATCTGAGGAAGTTGGTCATTTATGGAGTTGTTTCGGAGGCCAAAACCCATGAAGATTTCCATATGTTAGCCAAATTTACCTCATCCATTGTGAGGCTCATGAGGAAGTACTTACATGTAGAGGTTCAGTTTGAATATGAATAGGAAGTTCTGCTAGATGCTTGTGTGGGAGTTCAGGTTTTGGTCAAGCATGGATTATTCAAGCAGGTATGCGACATTTATTGAGGATTGCGGTCATGTCTTTTTCTTTTTGCAGTAATTTTCCCTTGAATTCCATTCTTCCCCTCTATAGATTAGTTTTGGACTTCAAGCAATTGTGAATTTATCCTATTCTTGGTGCACAAGTTCTTGTGGTGCAGCTGCTTCTGCTTGGTTTTTAATTGATGTTGATTTTATTGAGCTATAACAAGAACTTGTACAAAGGCGAGAACTCATGGCGTTGCTCTTTCATTCAATTTTTATTGATCTTTATGCACTATAGCTAGAAATTCTATGAGGGCACAAACTCATGGCATCACTTTTTTACCTTCGTATTATGCATACAAACTTTAGCAATGTATCCCCACCCCCTCCCACAAAGATAGATGTTATTGGTGTATTTACCTCTCCGTGTTGCTAGTTCTAGTGTGGACTTGATGTGTGTTGCTCAAGGATGACTACATACATTCTAAGTTTGCATTATAGTCACGAGTGTAAATGCAAAACATGCGGTTGAACGAGTTTTCATTATCAAAAACTTCGTAATTCATTTCTAAATTTGTTTTGCTTCTTTTTCTTGTTCTGTTATGAGGTATAAAAAATACAACCCGGTGCATGAGACTTCTTCCAGGTAGTCTTGGGAGGGTGTCCCCAAGAGTATCCTTTCCACAATTTACTGACAGGTTGGAACCAATTTAGCAATTACCTTGTTGCAAACACCACAAAATTTAGGATTATCAGTTTGCCTAGAGTTGGTTTTTCTAATCTTTTTACAGGATGAAAGACTTACGGAACAACTGATGCTTTGCAGGACTCAACTACTGTTTCCCACAAAAATGCAGTAGGGACCTTTCTTCTGTGCTTTAAATGCAATCAGTTTTTGGCCTTTTAAATTTGAGAGAGGTGTCAAGTGCTTGCTACACCAGAAATAATGTAGCAAAAGCAATCAAAATAGACAGGAAGATGGAAGTTAAAAATCATAGTTCTTTCCCACCACAAAACTTCTCATAGTAACTCTGTAAACATGACATCCTTGATAAGTTTATGTGAATTTCATGGTCGATAGAGAGCACTCTGATGGGAACACATACACCAAGGCTGTATGGGCTATGCTAGGGCGGGGATGCCCAAGTCCCACTCTCATGCCATAGTCAGAAAGGGCCGGGCTGCTGGCAAGGGCGAGCGGTGCGGTTAGGTTGGGTGGCAAAAAGTTGCCACGAGTAAGTCAATTTGGGGGATCGAAGGGAGTTCTTCATGCACTAGACGTGTAGGTTACCAAATCAGTTGCGACACGAATGCTAATGCATGCTACGGTAAAGTCTGACACATCAATCCCAATCCATGGCCACTTGGAAGTGTGATGTTCCATGACAAAGGTGTAGTAATGAAATGAAATGAAGTGAGGGAAGGAAAGATAATTGTGATATCCAAAAGAAGTATAGATAAGGAAGAGAGAATAAGAAAAGGGGGGGGGGGGGGAGCAGAGGAGAAAGCTGGGGAGGAGAGGACAGGGAGGGAGGGATATGAGAGGAGCCATTTTTCTACCAAAAAGCTGTCTGTGAGAAAACTTGCTAGTTAGGGTTTGCTCATTTGAGACGAAGAAGAAGAAGATGGGGAAGCAAAGGACGTCATTGGGTGCTTCTTTCATGATACTTTTCCCAACTTATGTTATCTTTTTGATCTTTATATTTCCCATAACTATGGGAAAAAAAGGTGGACGTCAAATATAAACTGTTAACTTACAATAATTAAATTGATTGTAACATAGAGTCCTAGAACTACCCTTTTGGGTTAATCCTATAAAATTCAACAACTCTATAACATGAATCGAAATTGCCAATTTTACAAAGACTGTGTGTGCGTCGTGTCATTCTTTCGGACGATATCATGTGATCAACACTTGATTACTTCTGTCAAAAATTTAATTGATCGTATATGTAGGGATTGATAAAATTGATACATTGGACCAAAAGTGCTAATCTTTTTTTTTTTTTTTGTCACAAAAAAAAACAAAAAGTTAATTACCAAACACACCCTTCAACTTTAGTCATGTTATAATCAGCTTCCTCGGGTTTCAGTTTAAGCAATTTAACCCCCTCAAGTTTTATTAGACTAAATTGATTAACTGAATGAATGAAGAATTTTAGTTACTTTCTTTCCCTATATACGCTTGCCACCACTTTCACATATCCACCTTCACTGTCAGCAGAACCGCCCAATCTCTCCCTCCATCATAACCATCACCAAAACCCTACCACCATAACTCACTTCAATAACGTTTCTAATAACAAATCAATTCAATCAATAACAACATTTAAGAGATTTCATTTAGCCAATTAATTCAACCAAAAAAGTTCAAATTCATTCTATCTCAACCACTGGTTGTGCATCACAGATTGAAAAACTAACCTCCAAAATCCCAATGCGGCAAATAACGCCATTGCCACTGTTGCAATCACTGCTAACCATCCAACTATCACCAGCCACCAAACCACCAAACAAAAAATAAAAAATATGAAAAAGAGACCGAGTTTGTCGCTAATACACCAACCTTTACCAAGAACCATAAAAGTGGAGTGTGTTAAAATCTTTTGGGTAGAGTGAATGATGGATCCATAAAAGTGGAACATTAACAACATTTCAGACGATTTGTATGACGATTTATTCCTGAGGCTATACCACTCAAAATAGCCTGCACAATTCCATTTGTTTGGTTCCACAAAATGGAGTATCAACCTTTTCTAAATTATATGAAATATAATAGAAAACCTCTACTCCCCTCTAGTATATTTCATATAGTCTAAAAAGGGCCGACGCTCGATTTTGGGAGCCAGACAAACAGAAGTATGCACAAGCCATTTTTAGTTGTACGTCACTGTGGCTTGTTTAAAAAATAAGTATATGCCACAGGTCATTGTGTGTGCACGGGCCATTATGTGTGGTTAGCACATTCTTGGGTGGGTGAGGTTACAAATTTTGGGATGAGTTACTACATTTTGAGATGATTTAATAAGTCCCCATGAAGTTGTATAACCTAATGGTCAATCTCTTCATAAGTTATATAACCGAAAATTATATTTCAATTCACATTATACATGATTTATGTATAAAAAATAAGTATGTACCACCAAAAATTTTCCAATCGACACTATACATGATGTTTCTTCAACATTGTTGTCATTAATATCTCCACAGTTTTGTCATTGTTTGACTGCCATCCTTTTGTCGTTGTCGTGCCTTCACTATGATCTTGTCTCTTGGTTCATTGTATACGTGAATAACTAGCTTCATTGCTAGATCCATGGGCATTTGATTGAATAACTCTTAAAGACACCATTATATTAAGTGAGTTCACAAATTTAATGTTATACAAATTTATCTCACTACTCTTGAATATGAAAATGTATCATATCGTAATCTTGAATGAAGGACCTAAAAATGGAGCACTCATCATTTTGATGACAAACATTTCACAATCAAAGTTATTAGGCTGCCTCGAAAACCAATCAACTTGAGTGATGGGCTAGTTGATCAATGTTGGCCTGTAATTAGGTACAACATACTCAAGAACTCTGTCTAGTTCTTTAACCACATTCTTTAAGGTAATTTATCGATGCTCGTTGGGATGAAATGGTAGAGAATCGAGTAAGAGAACTTGTTAATGTACCAATGTATGTTGTTATTGTTTAGGGGTATAAAGATTTACAAACATATATAAAATAGATTGACGATCATATATGCAGACACATATTATTGTGAAAATGATCTATTATAAACACATTAAAAAATAAGGTAACTACATTCCTTTTCACAGTCTTTGAAACGTGAAATGAAGTACTTTTAGAAATTAATCAACTTAACTATTTTTTGTTCATCTCTTCCTATAAGTGTTTTTTGCTGGGTATTAGAGAGAAATATGAGTACACATTTTTTTTTACATGTTGAAAATTATAAATTTCAAGTAGACCATTATCACAACCAAGTTGGCAGGTACCACCTTGACATATTTGTAAATGGATTTGATGATACCCAAAAATGGCATCATAAATAAATAAAATGAGATTTAGATAACGGGCTTGGAAAAGAGCCAACAAATGAGGTCTATCCCCGACCTTATGGTTAAACGTCCATCCTCATAAGGAGATCCAAGATCGTTCGCATACAACCTGAGTTAAATGAACCTAGGTCGACTGAGAACGACCTTAGCTACAAGTGTCTAGGTCATCCACATTGCGTCACGAGGAGAATCAGAATCTCTAGTTCAGGTAGTGGCGGATTTAGTATGGGGGCAGTGGGGGTAGTTGCCCCCATTGAAATTTTAAAAAATTTTGGAACTTAGGTGTAATTTTAAAAATTTCAAGAATTTCTTAAACTTGCCCCCACTGAAATTTTAAAAAATTTTGGGACCTAAGTATAATTTTAAAAATTTCAAAAATGTCTTAAACTTACCTCCGTTGAAATTTTTTTAAAGTATAGGGTATATTAATATAATTTTCAACCATTAAAAGATAACTTTTGGCAGCTCCTCCTCATTTCTCACACCGCCTTTTTTTTTCATAAGCCTACGCCTTCTTCGTCCAACTTCTAAACTTCCAGTCCAGTTCAGACGTTCAACCTTTTTTTTTTCCTTTATTTAGTTTCTTTGTTAGTTCGTATTCATCAACAAATCAGCTTATGAGATTCAATCATTGTGCAAATCAAATTTGAAGAAACACTAGAAAATTATGTTGAAGCTAAGAAGAGGTAATTTATTAACCAAATTTTTTGATAGTAGTATTAGCACTAATCTAAAATCATATTTTTATATTAGAAAATTAGTTTAGTTATTGTAGAATTGATGGTTGTTTGGTGTATTATTTTTGGACTTATGTAGGTTTTCTTTGTTTCGTCTTGTGTCACCACTCAACTATTTTGAATTTTTGTTGAAGACCCTGTTCAGATTGGCTGTCTGAGATTCTTGATTAGTGCTATTTTTCTTCTCTATAATTAAATTGTTTTAATTGATTTCTTGAAATTCTAGTTTGGATTATATTTTGATTATGTGTAATCCATTATCTCATTTGTTATGAACTTAATGACGAACTCTTAAACTTGAATCTAATTAGAAAAATTATTTTTCAATCAACTATGGATAAGTTTCTTATAAGAAAATCAACATTAGAACAACTGTCTCCTAATCAAGAAATAGATGATGGTGGTGGTGACATACGACATTGTTCTTATCAAAGTCGTGAAGGAGTTAACTTAGAAAATCTTCTTGCAGATCCTGAGTTAAGAATTAGAATTTCGAATTATCATCCTAATGATCGGGATGAAATTCGAAGAGCATATCTACAAAAAGGCCCATGTCAACCCCGTGAATATAATTTGTTCCAAACAAAATTTGGCAAGCTGTGTCGTTGCTTTAGTCCATCTTGGTTTAACGAGTTTGGTAGTTGGTTGGAGTATAGCATTAAAAAAGATGTCACTTATTGCTTATATTGTTATCTAATGATAATTGATATGAGAGAGCAGATGGGTGGTGACTCTTTCGTTATAGAGGGATTCCGTAACTAGAAGAAGAAAGAAAGATTTCAAATTCATGTTGGGGGTCCAATAGTGCTCATAATGAGAATTGAATAAAGTGCCAAAATTTAATGAATCAATGGTCACAAAAGTCTCATCATAAAAGAGTATATATATGTTTTTTATGTTTATTGTTTTGCTCATCAACTTCAACTTACACTTTTGTCTATTGCGAAAAATCACAATCAAATTACATTGCTTTTCAATATTGTTGTTAATTTATTGAATGTTGTTGGAGCTTCATGCAAACGAAGAGATATTTTAAGAGAAAAGAAAGCTAGTAAGGTTATTCAAGTATTAAACAATTGAGAGTTATCAAGTGGGCGTGGTTTGCATCAAGAAAGTAGTCTTCAAAGGGCTAGTGATACACATTGGGCTCACATTACGGCACTCTCATAAATGTGATTCTTTTGTTCTCCTTTGTTGTTGATGTGCTTGAGATTATTGTATAGGA